TTCCCATCGTGGTAACTGAGTTAACTGAATACCAGTGTCAGAGTGTGGGTGGGTGTTGTTTTGGGGGATGGTGTCCTGTTTTGGATCCCCCAAATTGGTTGAAGAAGTATCGATCTCCACAAAGAATGTATTTTGGAAAGCGTTTCTATCTCTGCTTCGGGACCACAACAAGGAATCAAATGCGGCCCGCGGAGGCTGGCAGTTCTTTTTTGGGGGGATTGGGTTGTGCAAGAGCTGAAAGAACCATGTAGCCGCCAGCAGGTCATTCGCTGCTTCTAGTTGAGTGAGACACCCAGCAGCTAGTCATGAAATCATAATTATAAGCGCTATTAAGCGTGTGATTTAGTGACTCGCCACTCGCCACCTGGAATTCAGGCAAGTGATTCACCAGGTCTAGTCGCTGTCCTGGAGTCAAACAGGAGGTGAAATACATTCAAATACATGGAAATACCCCTAATATCCCCTAACTATGGGCCTACAGGATTATGATTCCAACCATTCATACACAATATAAGGTTCTTACCCACCATTCATTGCATTTACTGACTCAAGAGTTTACTATTCACTATTTCAAGCATTTCAAACCCAGGTCAGACCCTTTTCGCACCTGTCTTCGAAGGCCAGGCAGGTCGCTCGACCCATCGACAAAACCCTCGACGACTCCGTCCTGGGCACCTTCGGACCGCTCCACCAAGGTGATCCGCACCTTGCCTTTGATCTCCTGGCGACCACCGAGTGTCGGTGTTGGACCCAGTTTGGGTGTTGGACACCACCGTGCGATGGTGTAGGAAAAAAAGCGCGCGGTTTTTGGGGGTACCTCGGGCCAATTCTCAGGTTGAGATGACCCAGGAAGACCGGAAGACCTGAAGGGCCTATACAAAGGTCTCCAAGAGGCTTTGTATTTGCTGATCCACAGCGAAAGGGCGAATACCATTGGTTTTGGGGGTCCATGTTGCCTGCTAGTTTGCATACAAATCGCGGGTGGTGATGGCCATGAGCTGCTCAAAGTGCCTTCTGCAGTCACTCCATGCCGCTACATGTCACTCCAAACACCCAAGACCATTTGATCCTGTCTTTGTCAACCGAGGTGTCAACGCCCCTCACCACTGCTCACACTCCTTCTTAACCTTTTCAACCGCTTCATCCAAAGCCACCGGAAGTGTCCTCGGTTCGGATGGGAGACATGCATACGACCGTGTGTTTCTGAGCAAATAGGCCAAATCTACGAGGTGAGTAGGCGAAACATGATTTCATGATCTGTGAGGTTGTCTGCGTTTGTCTCATCCACTAGGAGCAAATCATCATTTGTGATGATTATACTACACAAGCTCGTGCTCATGCAAATGGCAGCCTCGGAGAACCAATTTGCAGCTACGTTTCTGAGAAGGAGTGATTGTGGTGACTTCAAGTCTACCCTGGAATACAAGCCGACTGGAAACTGGATATATCTATTCTCTTTGCCTGTCCCCAATGTGTTTCATTATTCAGAGTTTGTAATTAACTGATCACCTTGCAGCTGATGATGATTACAACATGCCTTTCTCAAAATAGTGATATACTTTACCGCCTTTTAGATGGTAATGGGACACACCTTGGGGTGGGTGTGAACAACTTGTGGCTAGATATTCAATAAATTTCAAGATTTCACCTGGCGGGCTTCATAGTGATCCACTATCTATTTAATCCCGATACAGTAATGGAGTGCTCAATGTCCATTCATTCTGCATGCGTTTATTCAATCTGCACATCTTTTATTCCCAGATCTCCCCCACCCTTTTGACATCTTGGCCGATTCTATGTGCAAGGCCGCGACTGTCTACACCAGCCGCACACAGGTAAACTTTCGGCCATGTGCCAAGCACCAATGTTACCAGCCGTCTATCCGGAATATTGGGGTGGCTCCAAACAGCGCCCGGCAGGGTGGAGTAACAACAGCTGTTTGTCCACCCGCGGCTCCCTGCCAACATCTCCAGACAACCAAATGCAGCCCATCATTGGTTTACCCCACCGGCACTTGGTTATTGCCACTGGCTATTTATTATGCTATTTAGTTTCTGGCTTTTTTTGACAAATGCATCAATGACCCCCTGTGATTTTCTCAGAATTCTCTGTCCACAAAAACCGCCCAGCAAGCCTTCGCCCTGCGCGCCGTCACTTCGAAACCAGCATCCCCTTGTACTGCTTCTCGAAGGGATCTTCAGGCCATTCAGTTGCTAAGCCCCAGGTGAGAAAAATATGTCGCCTCAGAGAGGTCACCCATTCGGTGGAAGGTCCATCGAGGATGGCGCTAGCCGCTTCGGGGGTCGGGACAGGTGCCATGTGACCACCACGACGGCCGGGTCACCCGACGTCGTTGGGGCCGTAGAAACTGGGACATGCGATATGAGCCTATCAAAAACAAGTACTTGCACCCATTTTCCGAGGTACTTTGTGTTCAAGTATGCAGGTGTTCAACAACTGCACACTACAACCGTTCCTTGTTAATACACGAGAACCCGTGGACAGACTTGAATTATTCCAAGCAACATGATTCGCATGTTTGGTTTTGTTGCCCTCCCGTAAAATGTTTCCCGGGGGATGCTAATCAACACCTGGCGCTTAAAAGACGGCCTTCAGACGGCCTCCTTTGGTGGAGGCATGACTCAGTGAAAAGACGCCGTGAAACAAAAAGGAACAAACGCCGTCCATGGGATGCAAACAAAACCCGTCAACATCTGGACGGAGAACATGCACAGGACCACCAAGAAACCCAGCAAGACACCCCCTTGCTTTTGGTCTCACCTCGCCAACACAACATGATGTCCGCCTTGTCACAGCAAACACACCGCCTTTTGGAAAAAAGCTCCGTAAAGGATCGTAAAGGTGTTTTTTCTGAAAAAGCAATTCTTTGTGTGACTACGTGACGTTTCAAGAATCCAGCATATAATATATCGTAATATGAATCGGTTCTTCGTGGGTCAATGCACTCATGTCAACCCTTTTGTGCCCCTCATGATAGATAATTACTTATAGACTGCAGGCAATTCAAATTGCATAACACGAATCCTACCAAGGGGTGACACCCCAAAAAGGTGGCCTCACAGCGAGAAAACCCCTCCAGGAGGCCTAGGCACTGAAAGCCCTTCACCGTTCCAGCCAACTTCTCGCTATTCATCTCAGCCCGCCCGAAGCCGGCCTCCTCCACCATGGCGGGAAGCGGCACGGGAAGGTGGACGGGCCAGGATGGGTGCAACGGGCCAAGGGCTGCGGCAGCAGATTGAAACAATGCACTGCAAAGATCTGAAAGAGGGCGCAAATTGTCAAGTCGTTGAATCAACTCATAAGAACTAACCCTGGATAAGGCTCTTATCACCTCCTGAGAAGAATGGCCAAAAAATGCTATAGGCTTCTGCGGGAGTAGTTGGAGCCCTAGGGAACATATCCTGAAAGAACGTGCTTGCAAGGATGGTGTGCTGTGCTCTGTGCTTTTGTGCGGTTACTGCTCTCAAAATGGATTGATCCTACCATCTGGCACAAAGACGCTTGCTCCTGCACGGACAACTCCTGAATGATTGGGGACTTGAGGCCCATCTGCTCATCCCAAGAACGAATCAAAAACGGTAAGCAACATCCCCAACGATCCGGTATATTCATTCCGATGTACCATCAAAACGATGTACTGAGGGACCTCAACGATTGGTAACGTACTGTACCATCAAAACGATGATATACAAATATATTGATGTAATCCCCCAACGATCCGGATTCCGTATACAGTAAGAGCACAACTAAGAGCAATCGTGCATGAGGCCGGTAAGCTAGTTGACCAAAATACCATGGTTGCGTAGGTGCCATGCATGCTCGTTGAACCAAGGGTCTAACCAGGCCTAGTATGCACGGAAAAAAACGAGCAATCGTCCAACTCAACAATGTGGTACTTCCAGTCACCACAGTTCGAGAGAACCAGCTGGACCGTGGGGCACTGGGCACTGACCGCTCTGGCGTAGCACCGCAAGTTCCAAAAGCGAGAAGAGAGATGAATCGATGAGCAGGTTCACGAGAGAGAGAGAGAGAGAGACAAACACATACAAAAACAAAAATCCAGGTGGTTCATGGAAGCCGACTCCAGCTTGTGAGACTCCAGCTCTCAGGGTGTTGGAGGATGACTTGCGCCCCCCCAAAAAAGAAAAACACCTTCGAAACTCAATTCCCCCAACGAAACTGCCACTTTGCTGGGTAAGAAAAAGCCAACAAGATCATGAGTCGCCTTAAAACGACATTTCGGCTCTCGGAACCACGTGTCGATCCACGTGGCTCCCGGTCGCTCCCGCGTGAAAAAACACGCGGGGCACGTCCCACTCCCCCCGGCGCCTGTGCGGGTCGCGTCGGTTGTGATGCCGTGAGGCGCGAGAGGATGGCCTAAGCTCTGCCCCATCCCTAAGCCCCGTCTGACCACAGACCTGGTCGCGTTCTCACCTCCTTGAGTAGTGTTTATTGTATGACCAACTCCAGTAGGGCATGAGAAAAGTTATAGAACTTTCACTTGTAGGGCATGAATAGTTAATTATTATACTATCAGTAGAGGTTAATTCAGAGTAGATGGCACAAGTTACCCTAAGTTAGGTGGTTTATATGGACCCCCATCTAAGAGACAATGTAGGGGTTTGTGCCATCTACTCTGAAATCACTGTATAGTTACATCTTCCAGTGCCAAGGAGTTCGAGCAATTATAGTGTTTTTTGTTTTTTTTGACACCCCTCACGACGTATGTTCATGTATTTTCACCAATCTCTCAGCTCTGAATCAACTGGTTTTTGGAAGTTCGACTTTGCCGATCTTTGCCGCAGGGTGGCCACCGGTTTCATGATCACCAAGTTCAGCGATCTGCGAAGCTTGCAGTTCGGCAATCCACCTGAATTCATTCCTGTAGAACTGCTTTGGAACATGTGTAAAGCATCTGGGATTTTCCTTGTGGGGTCTGTTCTTCCATGTGTTCAGTACAAACCTGATGCCCAAACAATCACCTCAACTTGATGATGTTTTTAGGAACAGCATCAACTTGCATAAACCCAAAGAATTCCAGTCAGGCCAACTCGTGCAAACTCTATGGAAATCGGAATATACTGTAGGTGTATGCCATACATGGAGTCTTTGGCAATACAGCGCTTCATTTGGCCGTGGGTCATGGCACCAGACCGACCGGTTGACCTACCTGGGAGCGTGGTTGAACGACCGCTGCCACATCAGACCTTTGAAGGGGTCCGCCTTAGCTCCCCGACACGTCGCGCCTGGCAAACGACACGAAACGCGCCAGGCCAAACGCTCAAAGGACGTGTTCACCAAAACATCCCAAACGCTCCGACCAAACACTGAGGGACTGGACCAAACACTCTGAAGGGTTCTGGGGGTTTCTCACCAATCCCATCCAATCCCTGGAGGGACCCGTGCTGTGAACGAGTCAGTCCGCAACCCGACCGTCTGGGCGGCTTAAGCACGTGTTCGCGTTCGCGTTCGACGTGCCGGTTCGCGGCTCGGCTCGTTGTCTCGTTTTTGGTGCGAACCATCGGGAGTTCTGTACACCGAGGGATCATGCACGGTGGGCGAGAAGACGCAGCGGTGCCATGTCTGCGATCATCTGTACGTGTCTGGAACCGAGTCCCGGCTCGGCCCCTATAAGGGCCGGTGGGGAAAGTGGGGAAACCCAGAACATCCACACCACACCACTTGAAAACTCCCAGAAACTGTCAATCAAGTTCAATATTCTCCCCTGAAATGACTCATTGAGGTAGAGTTCACAAGACGTTTGGGTAGAACCGGAAACCCCATGGTCATCCAAGTCTTCGGGGCCATGCCATTCACGTTACCAATCATAATGATTTCAGGGAGTGTAAGTTTCTTGGTTCCAACACCAACTCCGCCATCCTACAAATTGGGGGGATCGGGATGGAAGTCTGGAGTCGGAAGAGTAAACAGAAAAACTCCGACGGGTGTGGGACTAGCGAAGTGTGGAGGGTGTGCTTATAGGCTTCCTGCCAGTGGCGTGTGTTGGGACAAGCCCAATCATCTTGAGCAGTAGCATGCAGTATTACTGTAGCTGTTTACAGAAAGGATCCGGAACTCTTTGTCTCTCTTCCAGCTGGGAATTCTCCAGGACATTCAACGTAACTGAGATCACTGAAATTTCAACAAGTACCGCATTCGTAGGTAACATCTCCGTGTCAATGCAGAACTCTGATCCAACAACCAAACTCTGTTTATCGGTTGTGTTGAAGAACTCGAATACCTATAGACCATTATAGACCTTGATGCTGCAGACATGTCTGCGGCGAAAACAGCTGCGCTGAAGAGCTGCTGAAGCAGCACGGCAGGGTTTGCCATCGTCCCCAGGATGTTCGGACGATGGGGGCACTTTGGCTCAAAAAGGGTGATCCGTGCTCACATGTTTTTTCCCCAAGCCGAAAGGCTTGTGCTGACTTGACCTTCTACAGATTTCTACAGCATTTTGACATGTTTTGACAGGGTGCACTTGTGTAGTTCTCTTATCACGTCGAACATGTCAAAGTCTGTCTGGCAGCACCAAAACACAATTGGATCACAAGAGCCAAATCAAAGGCCGATGAAGTAAACCCGGCATCACACGGCCCACTTGTCAATCACTTCACAATCTGCCATATAGCCATCCTCCAACAAATACATCCTCTGAAAGCTGTTCGAGCTGGAGATATGTATTTATAATTCATCAACTCAAGCCATCCATCTCCCTCAGACAGATCAGGCCACTTACTTGGCTGTGTTGAGATTTGTGGTGAAGTAAGGCTGCTCAGCTCACGAACATCACAATCTGAGGATAGACTTGGTGATTATGAGCGCAAACGTAGCAAAAGCGTCCACCTCAGGTGCCAAAAGGAACACCTAAATAGAAACTGGAGTGGTGTTAACGGGCAAACACAAGTGTTCACTATGAACATCCAAATAAACTTGCGACTTGCAGCTGCTGGCTTGGATGAAAGACTCTTGTAAGAATGAAAGAAAAAGTCGACTTGAATGAGAGAAAAAGTCGACTTGTTTCGTATAGTGTACTCGACTTTCAGGGTTCACAAAGAATCAGCACACGCACAAACACCAAGGGGGAAACACGCCATCCCTGGAGCGGAGTGTTTCAAGTCTGTACCACTGGGCAGCTGGAGACAAGCCGGCCCCTTTAGCAACGACACTCTGCCGCGAGAGGGCACTATTGACACGATCTACAGACTCTTAAGCACAATTGATTGTAACAACATGTAACAACATGAAAACACAAACAACTAGACACCTTCAAGTGACAACTGGTGCTTGATGCTTCAAAACCACCGTTTCTTCCATGTTCCTTCCTCCCTTTCGCTCGCTCCATCACGCTTCTCGCCCGCTGGCCCCAAGGTGGGGGGGGGCATCTGGCAGCCCAGGGCCCCTTCTGGGCCACGGAGTGCAGCCAAAGGGCCATAGATGGAGTGAACTTCGGACCTCGCCGGGCCGCCGGGAGGAGCGTGGTCGAGGACCGTGGAGGGCGGGGCGGGGCCCGGTCAATCGTGTTGGAACGCGGGGGAGGTCCCCGATAGGTATTGGGAGGAAACAGCTGCTTCTGCATCTGAAATTGTATATATGTATATAATATATATTGTATATGAATCAAAAAGAAACTCCATGAAATTCCGACTTCGCACTTGCCCCTTCGTTGCGTTTGAATCTTATAAGCTAGGATTGGATGCAATTCTGCAAGAGCCATGAACTTCTTGCTCTCTCCAGACACTTTGTCATACAACATCTTCAGTATACTGAAGGCGTCAGTGCGACGAGTTGTGATCAATGGCGAACTGTTTCCTGGATGTTGTCATTGAGTGACAACATCCAACAAACCGACTTTGATGCCAAGAAAAAAGCAGACCGAGACCCACCTGGCGTCTCCAACTCAAAGCGTCGCCCCCAATCGGCCCTTCGACCCAAGGCACTTCGGCCCAAAGACGCCGCCCGGGCCCAGGCACTTCGCAGTCAACTCCTGTTCAGCGCAGTGCCAAGGGCGCGCGCGCGTGCGTTTGAGAGAGAGAGAGAGAGAGAGCGTCCGGCAGGGCAATGAAAAGCCGTCTATAACCAATATCCATCCATATCCATCCGTTTAATCCATCTATCCATCCATCCATTCATCCATCCATCCATCCGTATCTTCGAGATGGT